CAAAGAAGAGAGACAATCGATTTTCTCCCGAGGTTTACGTGCTTGCCAACACGCTACGTCCCCGTTGTGTCGACCAACACTTGGTGGTTCGGCGGCTAAGAGGTGTTTCACAAACCTCGTCCACACGATAGGACACCGCAAGAACCGACTCACAAGTGAGGTAACTCAATGACACGAGCAATTTATTAGAGTTACCTTTCGGCACTCCGCCGGGGAAGGTACAACTCCCCTCATAATCACCGAAGGCGGCCACGAACAATCATCAACTCGTGCCGATCCTTCACCGCTGCTCCAACCATCTAGGTGGTGGCAACCACCAAGAGAAACAAGCGAAATCCGCAGCGCAACACGAATACCAAGTGCCACTAGATGCAATCACTCAAGCAATGCACTTAGATTCTCTTCCAATCTCACAATGATGATGGATCAATGATGGAGATGAGTGGGAGGGCTTTGGCTAAGCTCACAAGGTTGCTATGTCAATGAAAATGTGCAGGAGCGCTCCCTTGAGCCGGCCATGGGGCTATAAATAGAGCCCCAATGAAATAGAGCCGTTGTACCCCTTCACTTTGGGCATTAACGCGGGTGACCGGACGCTCCGGTCCGATCGACCGGACGCCGGCTCTCGGCTCTCGGCGTCGGTCACGTGATTCACGCCACGTGTCCCTGTTTCAAATGCTTGTTCGTCAGATTTCAACGGTCGCAAAGTGACCGGACGCTCGAGAATCCGACCGGACGCCGAAGCCCCAGCGTCCGGTCGTTTCGATAAGCTCCCGAGGCATGTTTTTTTCGACCGGACGTCCGTCCACTTTGATCGACGCAGACAAAGCGTCCGTGCTCAACCCTAGCCATCAGTACGCTGAGTCAGTATAGCGACGGGACGCAGCGATCGGCGTCCGTGCTTACGGTTTCAAAGGTCCGGTCCACAGGACCGACGCCAAACATCATTTCGATCAACTCCATTTCAACTCTTACTTCTTCACCCTTGCTCAAGTGTGCCAACCACCAAGAATTTTGCATCCGGCGCAATAGAAAATAGACATTTCATTTTCCGAAAGCGAATCCGCCTCAGCTCGGCGGGAGGGAGAGAGGGACCCAAACCCATCTCAACCCCCGCAAACACCTTGTGCACATGTGTTAGCATATTTTCACAAATATTTTCAAGGGTGTTAGCACTCCACTAGATCCTAAATGCATATGCAATGAGTTAGAGCATCTAGTGGCACTTTGATAACCGTATTTCGATACGAGTTACACTCCTCTTAATAGTACGGCTATCTATCCTAAATATGATCACACTCACTAAGTGTCTTGATCACTAAAACAAAATGGCTCCTATATTTTATACCTTTGCCTTAAGCCTTTTGTTTTTCTCTTTCTTCTTTTCCAAGTTCAAGCATTTGATCATCACCATGCTATCACCATTGTCATGATCTTCGTCATTGCTTCATCACTTGGAGTAGTGCTACCTATCTCATAAACATCTTGATAAACTAGGTTAGCACTTAGGGTTTCATCAATTAACCAAAACCAAACTAGAGCTTTCAATCTCCCCCTTTTTGGTAATTGATGACAACCCTTATACAAAGATATGAATTAAAGTTCATTTGAATCCATGTTGCTTGCCCAAGCTTATTTACCATGTGTAAAGAGTATAGGCAAGTTTCATGAACTTCATATGGTAGTAATTGCTCCCCCTACATATGTGCTAAGAGTTTGGATTGAAGCTTGCACATATACTTAGATAGGAAATATAGGAGTCAATTTTTTACCAAATGATGCTAAGGTATAAGAGATGGACCTTTGAAGCGTGATACTAATCGGAGTGCACCAATATACCATCCTTAGCACCATTAGTAACTAGACATACACAAAAACTAGAATACCCCATGAGATCAACATTAAAACCAAGGGTCTAGTTTTCATAATGTGAGCATGAGTCTAGTTACTTTTAGCCTATGCATGCTAGTTTTTTATTTCATCATTCAAACCTATAACTAGCATACACCACACAAGCATGAATGTTGAAACTTGGAATTTGTACCATGCGAGCAAACATATGAAATGTTCATTCAAATGCATCATACAAGTTTATGAGCTTGCTCCCCCTACTTGTGTGCTCAAAATTTTAATTGGTCCCTTTCCTTTAGCATATCTCTCCCCTTATGTCCAATGCTCCCCTATCACTCATATCTTTGTTTCTCTCCCCCTTTGTCAACAATTAGCACAAAAGGTGAGCTTAAATTATGGATAGGTTGGGGTGAAACCATGTGAAATAAGGATCATTTTCTCAATTTTGGTTCAATCTAGATTACTTGCAAAAGATATTTAACTCGGTTTGATCCAAGGACAAGCTTCTTCACACCTCCAAATAAGGGTTATCTTGTACCATGTTGAGTTAAACATTTATAGCTCATTTTCTAAATCAAACACTAGGTTTACAAGCCCACAAACATGTCATATGCTACCACTAGATCATTTCAAACATACAAGCAATAGTGGTACCATATAAGCATCAAATTCATTTGATTTTCATGAATGAGCCTAGGACATGATAGGAATGACAAGATGCTCTAAACAAGTCCTTAGTGATGAATGGATGACCTGTCAATCAACTTTACCTTGCTTTGCTCGAAGGAGAGGCATGTCATATAGTGGGGGGTGCATCAACACATATTGGAGAAGTCAAGTATGTTCAACTTTACCTTACTTTACCTGGCCCTCGTCGCATACGCATTCACACGGCGTGTGTGGCAGCAGGGTCCGGCCCAGTTCGTCCTTGTTGGCTGTTGCAGCTCGGAATCCCGCGCAGTCGCAGGCTCTGGCCGGCACTGTGGCAGTGGTGGAAAATAAACGACATGTTCGGTTGGTATTAAAGTCGGCTGATAAGCCGGCTAAAGCTGTTTTGTTGTGAGAGAAAAATATTGTAGATTCTAGCCGATGAGCCGGTTGATAAGCTGTTTTGTTTCGAGCACCCGACCCGAGATCGAGAGCGTGCATGTAGTGATGTAGGAGGAGTATTTGCGTTGCATGGCCATGGCCATGGCACGGCGTGTGCGCCAGCCAGAACGACGAAGACGAAGGGGGTGTTTAGTTACCCTAAACTCCTGAATTTGGCACTATGCAAAAAGAATATTCTCCGTCACATCAAACTTACGGTACATGCATGGAGTACTAGATGTTGACGAAATCAAAAACTAATTGCACAGCTTGATTGTACTTTGCAAGACGAACGTTTTAAACCTAATTAGTCAATGTTTGGATAATTATTACCAAATACAAACGAAATGCTACAGTGCGCTACAGTGCGCAACAGGAAATTTGGCATCGCCGAATCGGCGAACTAAACAAGGCGGAAGAAGAAAAGCGAGGAGAGCCTGGTGCACGGCGGCATGGCAGCGTGTGTGCTTGCTCTCTGAGTCCGTTCCCAACGACCACCGGTTCACCACACCACGACCGAGTCCAAGGCCGGTCAATGGCAGGCAGGCAGAGCGCTTTGCAGACGCCCGCCGGCAGCCGCACCGCACTTGTCAGCTCCTTGGCTTCGCTCGCACTCTCACTACGAGTAGAGTACTCCACTCCGTGCCCGCGGACGGATACGGATGCAAACAAAGGTGGTGTTCGCTGGTCTGGACTCCCAGCCAGCCGGTTGCTCCCCTCACAAGTATTGTTCATCAAACTCATCAAACAGAGTTTTTCTCTCACAATAAATCAGCCGAAACAGTATTTTTCAGCCAAATTTCAGACCAGCAAACGGGGCCAAAACTTTTGCTCTGCCTCTTCACAGGTCCACCAGCTTTTACATGCTGAAAGGTCTAAGGTGGTGTTTAAATTAAAGAGCTAAAGTTTAGAGATGTTATTTTAGATGTCACATTGGGATGTCACGTGAGAGTGTTCGGATAGTAATAATAAAACAAATTACAGAAGTCTTCAGTACTCTGCGAGATGAATTTATTAAGCCTAATTAATCCGGCATTAGCGCATGTACTGTAGCACCACATTATCAAATCATGGACAATTTAGGCTTAAAATATTCATCTCGTAAATTAGTCATAAACTATACAATTAGTTATTTCTTTAGTCTATATTTAATACTCCATGCATATATGTCCAAACATTCGATAGGATAGGAAGTAAACTTTAGGAGAAAAAACTAAACAAGGTCTTAATCGCAATCTGTGCAATTAGTTATTTTTTAGTCTATATTTAATACTCTATACATACTTTATGCATGTGTCCAACATCCAATGCGATAGGGACTAAACTTTAGAGTCTGTCTACTACACAACCATGTGTTTTATACAGTTTCAACACATAAATTTTTTTGCACCATAGAATTAAGATCCAATAGCCTCCACATTTCTTCTACCCCCAGCCTCCAAGCTCCACATACCACAGATAACAAAATTTTTTTATAGAAAAACAAATCACAGATCCGTCGTCGTCACCGCCGCCGCCGCCACACTACTACTACCTACTACTCCTGTACGCTGATCCATTCACAGCGCTGTCGCGACATTATTTTACTGTAGATCCATAGTAAAGTGTGATCTCTGAATCGCAGGAGGACGGGGTACACATGTGGCGAAGCCACTGGGGATCTCGCACGCGCAACGTACACAGCTCACAGCCGAACGGATGGACGATGCGGCCTTCAGCTGAGCTGTCACGCGATCATAGATTGTTGCCTGACGGCCCCTATTGCACTTGCGTCGTCTACACTCTACGGACTATGCGATCAACGCGATTACTATAGGCACCGGTGAGAAAGAGAGAGGGAGAGAGATAAAAAAAAATCCATATGTTTTTTTGTGTTGTATAGCATTTCTGAACACGGGCCTAAGTCATACATGCTGAAAAAATAACACAGGCAGCATCCAGCATCTGAAGATACTGAAGCTACTACAACCGGCCGAATCCTAGCAACAAGAAGGACATGAGTTCATCGAGCAGCCTCTGCAAAGGCTGTTGAAACCGGTGCTCCCTCGCCTGCCCTTCGATTACGAACAATCCTGCCGCACCAAATGCAGACATCCAAGAAGTTGATGCCGCCGCCACGCTGTCACGTTCACCACCAGCACGCGGTCGCCCACCTCTGACACGCGCAGCTCCAGGACCTCCACGGGCGCCGCCGGGAAGGACACGGAGGAGGAAGGCACGGGCTTCATCTTCTTCTTGCCCCGCTCCGCCTGCAGGAGCGCGCTCTTGTCGTACTCGTACTCGCAGCAGCGCTTCTCGGCGGCCTCGAGCGCACGCACCTCCTGCAGCACCCGCTGCTCCTCCGCCTAAAGCTGCTCTTAGAGGACGCGGATCTGGTCGGTGATGCACGGCGCGACGGCGGGGTCGTCTATGGCCGTGGCGTTCCTCCACAGCCGGAACCACCGGCCGCGCTCCTCGCTGCCCACGCCGCATTGCGGCGACTCTGGCGGCGGCTTGTACGCGCCCGTGAGGCGCGCCTCGAGGCGAGCGCGGCGGCCTCGGCAGCGCCGGCTAAAGGGCGGTCAGCGGCGGCCTCGATCTTCACCGCACGCGTGGTGGCCGGCGGGAATGGTGGCCGTCGTCACCGCATCGTCCTACCCGCTCGAGCGCACGGCATCGGGAGGTGACCCGAATGAGTACTGAGAGCTGGCTCGGGCCAGGCTCCACAAGAATGGCCGATTTGGGCGTTCAACCTGGCCAGGCTCGAGGGGCACGGATGGCCAGCCCTAGTCATGCTCTAGCCCACTTCCAGGCAACTAAACACATCAAAATAAGCTCCAGAAAGCCTGGCCACTCAACCAAACACACCCTACGAGTTCAGAGGCAGAGGAGCACAGCCGAGCTACATAGGAGCAGAGTGGAGGGAGAGGCGAGGCGAGGCGGACAGAACACAACAAACCACCATTTCATTTTTCATTTCGTCTTGTCGCGCATATATCTTAGTCTGTCTCCAACAGCTCATGCAAAGGGCACCGCCTTCGTCACACACAGCGCCGACGCCGCGGACGCCGCGCGGTCCTCTCCAGGCGCAGGGCTAGGGCTCGGTCCGCCGATGCAGTGGCCGTCCACCGGGACAGGTACCGCGACGCGGCGGCGGAGGTGTGGCCGCTGCTGCTAACAAGTACTTACTACTAATCCTAGTATAAGTACTACGCAGACACCACCGCTGACACATTATTCACACAACGTACTTACCGAGCACTACTACTTCCCTACAACGTCAAAGCTCCATCACCTGCTCCTGCTCTGCTCCCCGCCGTCCGGCTGTGATCCGGAAGTGGGTCCTCCGCCCGCGCCGGTCGGTCAGTCAGTACCCGAACCAACCACCGCCGCCGCCGTAGGCGCCACCAAGGCCGTCGTGCGGGTAGGCGGCGTACGCGCCCCAGGAGGCGGCGGCGGGGTAGGAGGCGAAGTACGGCTCCGGCGGCGCCAGCTGATGCTGCAGCACCCACGGGTACGCCGCCTGCTCGTACCCGCCGTGCTGGAGCGCGTTCCAGGTGCCGGCGGGCAGCGGGTGCCCGTGGTGGGCGTGCACCGGCTGCTGCTGCTGCAGGCCGGCGAGCAGCGCCTGCACGGCGGCGGCGTCCTTGCCGTCGGCAGCCGCGGCGGCGGGCTTGGGGAAGACGAGGCCGACGTCCTTGCCGGTGGCCTTGCGCAGGCGGCGACGGAGCCTCTCCGGGTCCGCCGTGGCGATGACCGACAGCTCGCCCTTGGTGCCCAGCGCCGACTGGTCCAGCGACACGATGCCGTCGCACCGGAGCGTCAGGTCCTTGACCGCGGCGCGGATCTTGTCGCCGCACCCGTCGCAGCGGCAGTGCATCGGCACCTTCAGCACGAACGCCGTCGCCTTGGTCGCGGCGGCGGCGTCCCCGCCGTTGTTGCTGCGGCCGCTCTTCTTGCCCATCGCGGTCGGGATCGGCGTCGGCCTGGGTTAAGGGCTCTGCCTGTGGCTAGCGTGCGCGTGCTGTGAACGAGTGTGTGTGTGTGTGTGTGTGTGTGTGTGTGTGTGAGAGAGAGAGAGAGAGGGGAAGAGATGGAGAGCTGGCGAGTGTAGTGGTGCGGGACAGCGATGGCCGTGTGGTCTGTTTTATAGAGAGGGAGGGGACTCATCTGGGAGGGCGGCCGGACGGCGACGGGAGGCGAGCTGGATGGTGACCCGAGGAAGATTCGGCGTTCTCGCGCGCAAGCGGCCGCGTCGTGGGAACGGAGAGACCGTGACCGTGTGTGCTTGGTCAGTCAACGGCGACGACGTGACCTGACCATTCGGGGGTAGTAGGAGAGGAGCAGGCGGCTAGTTTGCCAAACAAGGAAGCCGCGTACAGTACGTACGGCGCGTCTGCCTCGTCTTCGTCTTTGCTACCCTCGGTCTCATCTACAGCTTCACATCTACTGTTGCTGCTGTTAAGAGCGCGTACCAATACCAAGGACGCCAGATTCTCGCTCGAGTAGGAATACTGAGTACTGTACATAGCTTCCTTTGGTTTGCCTTGGCTTGGCTCGTAGCCTTGTACGCATTTTCCTTTTCGTCCTCGTCCAATCCATCGGGATCACGTCGTCTCCCTCGATCGGGTGTACTAGATCTACTGTACGCACATGCACATGGCGTTGGTTGGTTCCTTCTCTGCTGGACTACTACTACTAGGAGTATGTACGGTAGTCCTCTGGCCTCTGCGAGGCATGTCCGCTAGCATGGCATGTGAGCGAATTACGCGGATACTGTGGGAGACCGGGAGAGGGGAGGCTGTCATAGAACAGTATCTTCTTCTCGTAACATTTCAGTATAAGCATCAACCTAAGTTAAATTTTGGCACCCCAGTGCTGCTCGGCTGGTCCAGCACAAGTCCGGTTACAGTATACTATACGGACGCCGGACGCGTTAACCGACCGCGACCGAGACCGGGTTCCATTCTCTGGGACGACTGCGAGAGCCGATAGACATTGCACAATCACGGTTGAAATTGGTACCGGCAGCTCCATGGGTTCAGCGGTGGATTAGTAATAATAAAAAAAATAAACTAGAATGAGCTTTTCTCGTTGTTTTTCCATCTCTAGCTTCTCCTTAAAAGGTTTCATAAAAATCAATTTATAGGAGCGACGATTTAGGGGCCGTTTGGAACACCGAAACGTTTCGGATTCTTGCACGGACCCCAATAATCTGTGCCAAACAGCTAACAAGTGGAATGTTTCAGGTACAAACGGTTCCGAGCAATTCTGGTTTTTCTGCTTACGAATGTGAATCGGCGAAAACGTCGCTTCGCAGTGATTATGATTCTGTAGCAAAACAGTCTAGTGATTCTGATTCGCCGTCTGAAACATTTCTTGAGAGATTATGAATCTAAAATGTTTATACGAGAGTCTGTATCCCCACCAAACGGGCTTTTAGAAGAGGCTCCATGCTTCGAGTTGTTTTAGCAAAGGCTTGAGCCCACCCCGCCTCGGTGCTAGCTCTATAGATGGCTAGAATAGGCCGCTCGACGGTCGGTGCAGCACCAGCCCGGGCCCACAAGGTGTTGGGCCGGCACGGCACGACTGGGTTGGTGGACCGTGACGTATGCGCCCATGGGGAAATTGAACAGTTCAGCGTGACATGCTGTGGGCCGGGAAGCAAACATGCTCAAACTACGTTGGTTGCAGACGCGAACGGAACGACCGCTAGAGTGGGAATGGGAATGGAATCGAGGCGGGAGAAGAGTGAGCGGGCCCGGCGGCCCTCGGCGCATCATCGCATGCATGGCAGCGGGGGCCAGGCCCAGGCAGTCCTCGTTTCATCGCTCGCAGGCTCTCTGCTGTGGACTGTGGTGGTGGGAAGTTGTGAGCACGTACTACTACCCGAGAGCGTGCGTGAAACATGTACATAGACGGAGACGGAGAAGAGAAGCGCGTGGCGGCGACGGCGGCGGCGGAGACTGGAGAGGACACAACACAGAGTCGGAGAAGCCAATCGGCGGAACTGGACCGGAGCAGGAGAGACTTTCCATTGAGTTGAGCCTTTTGCAGAGTGCAGGGAGGGGCAGGGGTGGGGTGGAGTGGAGAGCTGGGTGCATGGCACTGCAGCCACGGGGCCACGTCCATGGCAGAGGCTCCAAGTCCCAAGTCCCAAGTCCGTCCGTCCGGTCGGTCCCAACGACGACCAGCACGACTCCCTCCCTCCTCGCTAATCGCTGCCATCGGCTCTGTTCGGCTGACCAAAAAATAAAAAAGCTGATTTACTATAAAAATAAAATATTATTATTTTACTGAAACGGTATGACTGATAAGTTCAAACGAACATATTATTGACCATTGTGCTGCGGCTGGGGAAGTGGGGCCGTTCGAGTCCAAGGCCGATCAGTGGCAGGCAGAGTGGCCTGCAGAAGCCGCCGGCAGCCGCACTGGGCACTGCACGTACGGGTATATACGGAGTACTCGTACTCGGTGTACATAGGTATCCGCAGCAGGCACTGCACTGGGATGGGATGAGGCACAGGTACTACTACTACTGCTTCACCAGGCCTGCAAAACATTAGCATCGCTTCCGCTTCGTTTGAAGGTACGACCGCAAGCCATCAACCGACCGACCAACGGGCAATGGCGATGGCCAATGGATTGCGTGCAAATGCAGGGGAGGAACTGGAACGCCCACGGCCGACCCAACGAGGCTGCAGCCCTACCTGTCTGTCGTGGCCTCCCAAGGACAAGAAGAACAACAAGTAGAGGAAGAGGAGATGGAGGCACAGTTGATATTCATACAGGCAGAGGGACGCTGCCTGCCTGCCATAAGTCAACTGATTTACAGAAATGCTATATGTTGCCCGGTTGTTTTGATGTCATTCAGTAACCGTTTTTTTGTCCATATGATCTGTCGGGTGTGATGTTCTGTATCGTCCGATCTGGTTGTCTTGGGCACGGCTTTGTTTGTTTCTGTGACATGTTGGGCCCACCTGTATGCGTTACTGTTTTGATTTTCGGGAGTCGCGTCCGAAGTTGTGGCTTCCGTCCCCCCCCCCCCCCATTCGGTTCGTCTTCTTCAAGGCGAGTCGAGGTGACTCGTCGTTCCCCGTAGCGGCGACTCGCGGTTCCTCGTCTTTGTCGAGCTAAGTTATCTCGCTCCCTTTTGGTGATATTCATTGTGTGTTTTGTGATGTGATATGTGTTATTTCAATGTGATTGTTTCCGGCGTCGTGTCGATCTGTGTTGCGTTGGGATTGTTATGTTTAGATCGGGCGTTTCGTCGCCGTGGTAGCGTAGATCTGGGTTGGACCTTTTTAACTAGTGTTCAGGGTCTAGACCACCCTGTTCGCTTATACTGAAATTTGGCTTATGCTGATGCTTATACTGAAATATTATGAGAGAAAAACACTATTCTATGACTGAAAAAGTAGCTCAAGCGAACAAGGTAGGGTTTTCCCCTTTTGGGGATGCGGGTTCCGAGCTCGCGTGTTCTCTCTTGTGTGTGAGCCAATTTGGCGACGTCGTTGTGAGATGAGAAGTCAGCCTATCAGATAATGACTGATTGGTTCTGGTTAGTCTGAATTTGCTAAATGCCAAGTCATTATGCGTATTTTTGGCCTGTTCGCTGATTGGTTTCTGGGTTGGTTTGGGCTGACTGGTGCTGGTTTGTTGTGAGAGAAAAATACTATTGACTGACTGGTTTAGGCTGGTTGAAACCAACAAGCGAACATGCTCTTTGTAATGATACGGTAGCCCATCAGATGTTGGCATGCATCGATCGATCCCTTTTTCTGACTCCTGGTGTGTTGTAGTAGTATGCTCTTGACAGAGGAACAAAATCTTTTGTTAACAACCTCTTGGCTCTTGCCCAGCAGTCCAATGGTGTTTTAAGGCCTGCACTGTGCACCATCAGCATCGAATTCACTGCACATGCCGTGCTGATTCACAAGCAGCAGCAGCAGCAGGCGGCCTCAACCTCATGATGCACCCCGCCGTGAGGTGCGGGCGCACATGGCCAGCGCTGCGGGGGCCATCTTCGACTTAACCATCACCTCAATCATGTTCGTTGTAAGCTGCTGATGCTCAATCACCGCCCTTTTAGTCCGTTAGTCGCTCTAGCTCGCCAGAACGCTCGCGCTGCCATGGTGGTTGGTCCGCCACCGTGAGGAGCGCGAAAGAAGTCGCCGTTAGGCTCCCAACCGTCACCTAGGAATGCACGTTTAGCGGTAGGCAAAGGTCGGCTCCTTTATCCCCGTTGTAGCGAGCTTCGTGTGCTCAGCGCAGCCGCCCATGCCGCTGGTCGCCGTGCCGGCGAACGCGGGGTAGAGCAGGGGTCTCCCTGTGGTGAAGGCGATATTTTCCAGGGTCCTTGGTGCAAAGCTCTTCTCTGGTGTAATAGTGTTCCGTAACGTCGCGCGATATTCTGTGAAGCTGGGTGTTCTTCTGCAAATGTGCGGGTGCGCGCGCGGGTTTCCCATTGCGGACCGCTTGTTGGGCCATCCTGCTACGCGCACGGCCATTTCCGTGAGAGCCGCCTGGGCTGTTGGACCGAATCGGTTGCTGCCGGCCCTTTTTTATTTCTAAAGCATTTTTAATTTAGCTTCTAAGGTAAATTTATAAATTCAATATAAAATTGTGTAGTTAACTAAAATTTTTTAAACCAATTTTGTTAGGTTCCTAAAATCATGACATATCTGCTAATGTATTTTGTTCACTTAGTTTCATAGAATTTTTAAGAGTAGACTAATTAATTTAAAACACTTAAAATGGGTAAATCATGAACTTGTAGGAATTATTGTGATGAATTGGTAGTAGTACTGGTCCTGAAATTTTTACAGTAGATTTCTATCAATGTTAGGTGTTCACTGTAATTTTTGTAGCTTCATAGGAATTAGTTTGTTAAAGTAACTAAATGAGCTCTAGTACGAAGATATATATTTAATCAATCAAATGTCAAAAAATAATTGAAGATTTGTAGAACGAAAACATTTTTTGGAAACGAGCCTCACTTGACCACATGGATACATGGCTTAATATGTTAGTCATTAGGGCTAGCTCGTTAGCTTGCGAGACGTAATCGTATTTTAGAGTTGCAGTTGCCATTGATTATTTACGTTTCTACGTTGCATCCATGTATTTCATGATTGGAGCGATATTGGATCGTGGAGTCATCGGGAATAGCGGAAGCAGATGGTGACTTGATGATCATGCCACCATGACGAACAGCTAACTTGGTTATCTTTTATCCAGGCAAGCCCCCGTGCATAACCCATATTATTCTGCACTTTATTTTATGCTTATGCATTAAGTTTTAAGGAGTTGAATGAAAACCACTTGCATATATATATATATATATATATATATATATATCCTTATCCTATGAGTCCTACTAGTATGTCAGGATCGTATAGATTGCTATGCTATAGGATCCGGTAGAAGTCGAGTGATTGCCTGTTACTCGTGAGAGATAGGAAATATGTTATTGTTACTATTATCATGTTACTATCACGTGAAATATATATGAATGATAATTGAAGACCGGGGGACCATACTTTGGATTTGGATTTGGACTTGGTTAGGTAACCGAGTGAGGCTCTGGTTGTGTTTGTCCCGCTTGTGTCGATTGAGGACCGTACATTGCATTGGATTCTAGTCAAGTCATAGACTTATTATCCTGAGCACATACTTGCTTATGGGGGCGGGAATGCTCGTTGCTCTCTTGTCGTGGGTTCTGGCTCTTTCTAGGTCGACTGATTGGAGGTGGGAATGGTGGAGGTCTAAGCACCACACTGAGTCCGAGACTCAGGTGTGGGGGCTTAGAGTCAAAGTTTAGACGGGGACCTGGACCCCTTAACAGAAGAGTGGTGGGTTGGTCCTGCTTGTGCTTGGGGTACAAGCGGGGCATATGTTTTCGGGGTACCCAGCTAGGCTACATTGATTCGCGAATCGCCGTGTAATACGGTACGACTTGTCTACGATCTAGCACCGTAGTAAGAACTAGAATATGAAAGATGGTAAAATAGTTCTAATTACTTACCACCTGCTTAAAAGTAGCACATGTGCTTACATAGAATGGTTAGTTAATGAACTAATAATGACTGCTAATGAAATTGAATATAAGGATGCACGCTTAGTAATGCTTCCTACAGATGTAATAAACCCACAAACCAGATAGTCTTGCATATCCTTGGAGTCTTTTCTTTTCTCCTGACGGGTAAGTCTTGCGAAGTACAATTGAGTATTGAGGGTTTGTTCTACCCTATTGCAGGTGACAGGAACATGTGGAGCTGACACTTGTGTGTGAAAACCTCCTGATGGGCTCAGCGAGGATTTCCTTAACGTTGCGGACATAGAGTTTATTTGAAACTTCCACCTAAAATATTTTACAATAGAAAAACTTATAACCTGTTATGATGTATATAACGCATCATCGTGTTAATGTTTAACTTGTCATTAAATGATTTTATTTCCGTTGAAACTATGATAGCATGGTTATATTCCGTTGTTATCAATAATAAATATTGTACTCTGATGTTGCATGGAAAGTGATGTAAGAAATGGCTAAAATATTGTAAGCTTTATTCTCCCATTTATGATCCTGTTGGAAAAAGTGGATTTTTTTGTTCTCCCGTGGGGTATGCTCGACAGAACTATTTAAAATAGCTCACTCTTGGGGTGTTTAGTGTCTAATGGAAGATAAGCACATCCGAAAGTGAGTTATTTCGGACGGTTCTGCCACAGACGGAGAGGCGCGCCGCGGTCGAGTGTCTGGACGGGAGGAGGGACGCTAGGAGTGAGGCTAGGGTTAAGTGCTAGTTATATATGACGCTTGGAGACGCATGCTACAGGTGTGTTTGACCTAGCTAATTTTTAGCCTAGATTAGAATTATAGTATGGGCAGCCTTAGTCTGCTCTCAGCAAGCCAACTCATAATTGTTTGGTTGTTTGTACTGTGTAAGTCTGGCTAGCCCTAGGACGTGTTTGGTTGCTTGATTTATTTTGATACAATCATCTCTTCTCTAAATTGTTAAGGTTACCCCTTTAAGGCATTTTGTCAAACAAGTTTTAAATGTTGCTCTGCTGGTAATAACATGTAACTCTACTGTAGCACCACATTGTCAAATCATGGCTAATTAGGCTTAAAAAATTTATCTCGCAAATTAGGCCTTGTTTAAATCCAGGGTGTAAAGTTTTGGGGTGTCACATCGGGTGTCACATGGGGATGTCGCATGGGGTGTTCGGATACTAATAAAAAAATAAATTACAAAATCCGTCAGTAATCCGCGAGACGAATTTATTAAGCCTAATTATTCCGTCATTAGCACATGTGTTATTCTAGCACCATATTGTCAAATCATGGACAATTTAGGCTTAAAAATTTCGTATCGCAAATTAGTCACAAACTGTACCATTAGTTATTTTTTAGTCTATATTTAATACCTCATGCATGTGTCCAAACATTCGATGGGATAGGGAGTAAACTTTAGAAGAAGAAACAAAACAAGGCCTTAGTCGCAATCTGTACAATTAATTATTTTTTAGTCTATATTTAATACTCTATGAATATGTTAAACATCCGATGAGATATGGACTAAAGTTTAATGGCATCCCACATCTAAAGATACTGAAGCTACTACAACCGGTCGAATCCCAGCAACAAGAAGGACATGAGTTCATGGAGCAACCTCTGCAAAGGCTGTTGAAACCAGTGCTCCCTCGCCTGCCCTTCGATTGCGAACAATCCTGCAACACCAAATGCAGACATCCAAGAAGCTGATGCTGCCGCCGCGCCGTCACGTTCACCACCAGCACGCGGTCTCCCACCTCTGACACGCGCAGCTCCAGGACCTCCACGGGCGCCGCCGGGACGGACACAGAGGAGGAAGGCACGGGCTTCATCTTCTTCCTCCCCCGCTCCGCCTGCAGGAGCGCGCCCTTGTCGTACTCGTACTCACAGCAGCGCTTCTCGGTGGCCTCGAGCGTGCGCACCTCCTACAGCACCCGCCGCTCCTCCGCTTGAAGCTGCTCGTAGAGGACGCGGATCTGGTCGGTGATGCACGGCGCGACGGCGGGGTCGTCTATGGCCGTGGCGTTCCTCCACAGCCGAAACCACCGGCCGCGCTCCTCGCTGCCCGTGCCGCATTGCGGCGACTCCGGCGACGGCTTGTACGCGTCCGTGAGGCACGCCTCGAGGCGAGCGCGGCGGCCTCGGGAGCGCCGGCTAAAGGCCGGTCGGCGGCGGCCTCGATCTTCACCGCACGCGTGGTGGCCATCGTCACCGCATCGTCCTCCCCGCTCGAGCGCACGGCATCGGGAGGTGACCCGAACGAGTACTTAGAGCTGGCTCGGGCCAGGCTCCACAAGAACGGCTGATTTGGGCGTTCAACCTGGCCAGGCTCGAGGGGCACGGATGGCCAGCCCTAGCCATGCTCTAGTCCACTTCCTGGCAACTAAGCACGCCAAAATTGGCTCCAGAAAGGGATCGGCCACTCAACCAGAGGCAGTGGAGCACAGCCGAGCTGCATAGGAGCAGAGTGGAGGGAGAGGCGAGGCGAGGCGGACACAACACAACAAACCACTGTTTCATTTTTCATTTCGTCTTGTCTCGCCTATATCTTATACAGCACAAAATGAACTCCTAGGATGTCCGTTTTTGTTTTATCAAACCTACGGTATAGTATCTTCGATCATCAGTTTCAAAAAAAAAAAGAGTTAGATACATCCGTGTTTTATCTAATCTACAGTACATTTTATGAAACTATAAGGATCTGCTGAAAATGGATGGTCAAAGAATATGACAGAGCTTATATTTATATAACAACAGAACGGAGGGAGGGAGTTACAGAGCAGCATGCATGAGATGAGATGAGAGCCCAGCCCAGTCCAGCTGAGCTGAGCTAACAAAATGAACTCATCATCCTGACATCGTCCAACAAAACACACAAAATGCAACCACAACCATTACCGAAACTGAAAGTAGCAACAGCAGGAAATCAGTGATCACTGATCTACTGATAAAGATCAGCTTCTTGCTAACAAGTACTTACTACTAATCCTAGTATAAGTACTACGCAGACACCACCGCTGACACATTATTCACACAACGTAATTACCGAGCACTACTACTTCCCTACAACGTCAAAGCTCCATCACCTGCTCCTGCTCTGCTCCCCGCCGTCCGGCTCTGATCCGGCCGGCAGTGGGTCCTCCGCCCGCGCCGGTCGGTCAGTCAGTACCCGAACCAACCGCCGCCGCCGCCGTAGGCGCCACCAAGGCCGTCGTGCGGGTAGGCGGCGGCGGGGTAGGAGGCGAAGTACGGCTCCGTCGGCGCCTGCTGATGCTGCAGCACCCACGGGTACGCCGCCTGCCCGTACCCGCCGTGCTGGAGCGCGTTCCAGGTGCCGGCGGGCAGCGGGTGGGCGTGCACCGGCTGCTGCTGCTGCAGGCCGGCGAGCAGCGCCTGCACGGCGGCGACGTCCTTGCCGTCGGCAGCCGCGGCGGCGGGCTTGGGGAAGACAAGGCCGACGTCCTTGCCGGTGGCCTTGCGCAGGCGGCGGCGGAGCCTCTCCGGGTCCGCCGTGGCGATGACCGACAGCTCGCCCTTGGTGCCCAGCGCCGACTTGTCCAGCGACACGATGCCGTCGCACCGGACCGTCAGGTCCTTGACCGCGGCGCGGATCTTGTCGCCGCACCCGTCGCAGCGGCAGTGCATCGGCACCTTCAGCACGAACGCCGTCGCCTTGGGCGCGTCGGCGGCGTCCCCGCCGTTGTTGCTGCGGCCGCTCTTCTTGCCCATCGCGGTCGGGATCGGCGTCGGCCTGGGTTGCGGGCTCTGGCTGTGGCTAGCGTGCGCGTGCTGTGAACGAGTGTGTGTGTGTGAGAGAGAGAGAGGAAGAGATGGAGAGCTCGCGAGTGTAGTGGTGCGGCGGTGCGGGACAGCGATGGCCGTGTCGTGTGGTCTGTTTTATAGAGAGGGAGGAGGGCGGCCGGACGGCGACGGGAGGCGAGCTGGATGGCGAGTGGGCTCCGTCCCGAGGAAGATTCGGCGTTCTCGCGCGCAAGCGGCCGCGTCGTGGGAGCGGAGACCGTGACCGTGTGTGCTTGGTCAGTCAACGGCGCCTACGGGCCGGGCTGGGCACTGGACGGACATGGACTACGGATGCCGGGCCGGCGAGGTGATTGATGTGCATGAGAGCGTGATGGGTCCGCTCCGTTGCAATGGCGACGACTTGACCTGACCATTCGGGGGTAGTAGGAGCAGACGGCTAGTTTGCCAAACAAGGAAGAAAGAGAGAGGAGGAAGCCGCGTAGCGCGTCTGTACATGTACCACCCTCGCTCCCCTCCCGTCTCCGTGTCATCTACTCCTCCGCTGCTGTGTGCTGTTGCAGTGATACTCTAGTCCTACCTGTCCGGAAAAAAATACAACCATGGGTTGCGAGGTGCTACAAAAAAGTGGTTTCACAATTATATCTTTAAATTAATTTATTATAAAAATATATTTTATAATTAATCTAATTATATTTATTTGGTATCATAAACATGGATATTTTTTATCTATAATTGGTCAAACTTAATATACTAAAACGTGAGACTGTGTTAGAATTGCATTCTTTTACGAGGAGAGTAGTACCAATACTGCTAGCTTCCTTTGGTTTGGCTTGTAGGAGTAGACGAGAGAAAAGAGCAAGGCAGGACCTCAAGACAAGACCTCAACCGATCCGTATCACGTCGTCTACCTCGGGTGTACTATACTTTACTACCGTATACGCACATGCACATGCCCATGCCATTTCTTCTTTTCTACTGTCGTAGTTTTCTACGATCGAAAATGGCCACCAAACCAAACCCAGCGAGGCATGCATGTCCCGTATACGCACATGCACATGCCATTTCTTCTTTTCTACGATCGCATGTGAGCGAATCACGCGGTTTTTTTTTGCAGAAGAGAGGAGAGGAGACGGACTGCGTGCGCAAGGACGGCGACGACCCGTTTATTTACTCCCTCCTACGCGGTTTTTCTACGCGGTTTTCTTTGGGACAACTACGAGATCGAGCGAAGAGAGATGCACATTCACAACATGTTTGACACCACTTCCCTTTCATTTACTCCCTCTGTTCTAAATTATAAATCGCTTTGACTTTTTTTATTCATCCATTTTGTTATTATCAATTATATCGAGATGCATATCGAAATAGATGTATAAAAAAAATCAAAACGACTTATAATTTGTAACAGACGGAGTACTAATAGTAAATGCCCCCTAAAACCAAGAATTATTGGCAAAGGAGTTATAATAAAGGATTCAGATTCCTAAGAAATTTTTGCTACACACCTCTTTTTAGTTCACAGGGCATATAATATTTCATAGGAAAGTAAGCCAAGCAACAGGTCAGACCTCTTGTAAATTTTTCTCGCGGGAAAGCTGACTCCTCGCGCACGGGCTGTTGGCTCTCCCATCTGTGCTGCCTTGTGTGTTGCGTTTGGTGGGAAAGGTGACCATTATGCAAGCAAATCATCCAAAGACCATCTCATCTCAATTCATGTGTTTTCTATTACTACAGGGTTGGATAGGATAAACATGTCGCCTCAATTCTCGTGTTTTCTATATCCTATGTTCCAAAGGGGGCCAATGCGGGTTTTTTTTACTTTAGCTCCACAAGTAGCTTTATCGGTGGAGCTGAAGTTGTTTTGGTTAACCATTTGACAAAAACAGGTCTACATGTGAATCTCTTTTGAAATATGCTCTCGCAAATCCAGCAGGGGCCCACCAAACCAAGTTGAAGCTAGGAGAAGCAACTATTCTCGGCTTCAACCCACACCAATCTCTTTTTGAGAGCATGTTTGTGAAGTTGTTTGACAAAAATACCTATTTTGTACAAAACAACCCCTGAAATTGCTTTAGAAGCTACCAAACCGGGACTCATTATCCTATTGGTACTGTCAGAGTGTCAGGTATAGATGGTCAGACAACCCAAGGTCCACGGGTTAGTCCACGACCTGGTGTTCTGGTCACATATAGGTCGGCTCGACACCTTACATGCTTAGGCCACCTTTTGCTCAGGTCATGTATGGGTCGGCCCCCCCCGGCCTAGACCGATCACTAGGAGGTATACTAAGAGCTCATCTAATGCCATGTCCACCCCATATATAAAGTGCCTTTATTTTCACTAAAGCCATTGACTCCATCCACTATCTGTTCCACCGCCAACTCCCCTCCATCCTCAACTTCAATTCCCTCTTCTTCCTTTCCTCTTCGCGGACCTTTCTTCCCATCCCATCTCTATTAGAGACACCAACTGCAGCCCAACAACGCAGAGGTGTGGACCCAAGACCATCTCGGGCGGTAACATGTGGACACGACCTTAGATGGCTCGTGTGGTGGCGCAGGGCTGTGGCGAGCTCACTGGGCTTGCCCGACACATACAGTGCAGTTAAATAGTTCTTCAATTTGATTGCATATTTACAGAAAATTATCTATATGTGTGATATCATCAACTAATTATCATTAAGTAGGTTCATCTTAGAATACATATTTATTGTGTACGTATTTAGAATCATATGTAGTGGTTGACATTATTTTTTATAAACTTAGTCAAAATTTAAATAGGTCGATCTAAAAGTACATTCTTTTTAGAACTGAGCCCTCTTTTTTTTTTTTTGAAGACACCGAGGTCGAAACTCCAACCACCAAAGAATCGCCAAAGAATGCAAGACCAAGACGACACCAGATCGGGGACCAGAGCGGAAAAGGTGAGGAGCGTGACAGCAGCCAGAAGACTCAAGACTACACAAACTGACCTCTTTGCTTGGCGTTTTCCCCTTTGCCTTGCGTGGTTACGCGCTACACCCAGCTTCCGTGTCACTTCACCCTTCACGGCTTCACCCCACTTTGCACCAATATAGTACACTAGTACCAGTACCATTCTTTTCTTGGCGCCAGTCCAATGAACTGCGCGTTGCTGTTGCCCCGATCGTAAGGTTGTTTGGCAGGTCTTCTCTCCGGCTTTGGCTCTGGCTCCTGCAGAGAGTCCTGCCAAATATTTTTTTCGGAGGAATCATTTTTTATAAAAAACAGATGAGCCGGAGCCGTTTTGGAGGAGCCACGTCCTCCAAAACAGCTCTGGCTCCTGCGGAGGAGCCCCTCAAAAGGAACCGTGCCAAACACCCCCTAAGCCACCCTCTCACGTTACCAAATGCCACTAGTATATCACTCAAGTAGTACTAGTTTAGTTAGTTACACGCGGATGGAGAAGCAAAACATAACCAATCTAGACGCGTTTGGATCGATCTGCGGACTCCATTGTGTGATAATAGGTTAAATATACAATACTTATAGATTTTTAGCTACCAATTAGTCTTATTAGTTCATTCATTCATAATTAGTCCATGTTATAAGACGTCCTGTTTGGCATCTAAAATCCAGGACTGATTTTTTGTTCTAGGATCGAAACGCTTCCCAGTCCACACCGCTCGCTCCTGCTCGTCACGCGCCCCAACTGCGACACTTGCTCCTGTTTGCGCCCGCGATGCAGCGCCCCGCCCACGACGCTCGCTCCCGCCGGCGACGCCTAATCCCCTTCCTCTGCAGCCTTTCTCCAGCGCAGGGGCGCCTCGCCGTGCGCACCACACCCGCCCGCTGTGGCCTTCTCCAGTGTGGGGGTCACTCGCCGCGGGCACTGCACCCGCCCTACCCGATGCACCCTCCCCCACTCCGCGCCGACGTCGATCTCCGCACACTTGAGTTGTGCAAGACATTGCAGCTACGGTTACAGAGCAGCATGCATGAGATGAGATGAGATGAGAGCCCAGCCCAGCTGAGCTGAGCTAACAAAATGAACTCATCAATTCATCATCGTGACATCGTCCAACAAAACACACAAAATGCAACCACAACCATTACCGAAACTGAAAGTAGCAACAGCAGGAAATCAGTGATCTACTGATAAAGATCAGCTTCTTGCTAACAAGTACTTACTACTAATCCTAGTATAAGTACTACGCAGACACCACCGCTGACACATTATTCACACAACGTACTTACCGAGCACTACTACTTCCCTACAACGTCAAAGCTCCATCACCTGCTCCAGCTCTGCTCCCCGCCGTCCGGCAGTGGGTCCTCCGCCCGCGCCGGTCGGTCAGTCAGTACCCGAACCAACCGCCGCCGCCGCCGTAGGCGCCACCAAGGCCGCCGTGCGGGTAGGCGGCGTACGCTCCCCAGGAGGGCGCGGCGGGGTAGGAGGCGAAGTACGGCTCCGGCGGCGCCTGCTGATGCTGCAGCACCCACGGGTACGCCGCCTGCCCGTACCCGCCGTGCTGGAGCGCGTTCCAGGTGCCGGCGGGCAGCGGGTGCCCGCGGTGGGCGTGCACCGGCTGCTGCTGCAGGCCGGCGAGCAGCGCCTGCACGGCGGCGGCGTCCTTGCCGTCGGCAGCCGCGGCGGCCGCGGCGGCGGGCTTGGGGAAGACGAGGCCGACGTCCTTGCCGGTGGCCTTGCGCAGGCGGCGGCGGAGCCTCTCCGGGTCCGCCGTGGCGATGACCGACAGCTCGCCCTTGGTGCCCAGCGCCGACTTGTCCAGCGACACGATGCCGTCGCACCGGACCGTCAGGTCCTTGACCGCGGCGCGGATCTTGTCGCCGCACCCGTCGCAGCGGCAGTGCATCGGCACCTTCAGCACGAACGCCGTCGCCTTGGGAGCGGCGGCGGCGTCCCCGCCGTTGTTGCTGCGGCCGCTCTTCTTGCCCATCGCGGTCGGGATCGGCGTCGGCCTGGGTTGCGGGCTCTGGCTGTGGCTA